GTGTGCATTTTTTTTTTTTTTTTTATTTACCTTTACTGTTGAAAGTATTACAGATTTCCCCCTTTTTTCCCCCCATTGATCCCCTCTACCCCGCAACCACCCCACCCCCACACTTTCCTCATACTTTTTATACAAGACAAGAACTGGAAGGCAGTATGCAGAAATGGCTAGGATAATGATACAATTCGTTTTTCTATTTTCAGTATACTTTTTTATTATTAGTCTTCTCAAAGATGAATTGATTTCTAGAAATCCCATTCCCAATCATTTGGCCTACCCTCTGTAATGAGTTAGTTAATAGAAATGCTTTGAACTAGTAACAGAAGGAAGCTACTACTAACCACCCACAGTCCTTTCCTCCACCTGTTTGGTGGGTGGTTTGAAGATTTGTTTACTTTAGACTATTTTGTTTAGGATTTGGTTAGAATATTTGAGAGGGGAAAGACCCATGGACATTATGGCAAATGGCAACTATTACCACCTTGGAAAATGAGACAGAGAACAGGAAAGAGGGATATGTTGAGGGGAAAGAGGCCTTTTTAGAAAATTTTATTTTAAAGCACAAAATTTATAGTTCACTTTCTTTTTATGCTAATCCTATACAAACAGCATGCAAGAGTCCTTTGACTCCTAAAAGGGTATAAAGTCAAGACAATAGAACCTATATCATTGGATGCTTGTAGTTTAGAGACATTAGAGAAGTACTCAGTTTAATGAAAAACCTTTCACCTCTTGAACACCTTGGTAGCTTGCACAGTCTTTCGTGATGATATATAATTTTGGAAAAGGGCACATTGTATTAGGTATCATATCATACCATATGTTATAGAAAGTATCCCAGATTTACCTCAAAACTTAACAGCTTAAAACAACAAATATTTATTATTTTAGTTTCTATGGGTCAGAAATTTGGGAGTGACTTAGCTGGGCAGTTCTGATTCAGGATCTCATGTGATTAAAGTCAGGATGTGGCCAAAGGCTTTAGTTATCTCTGGTCGGAGGATCTACTTCCAGGGTGGCTCACTGTCATGACTGTTGTCAGGAGTCCTCGCTACATGGATTTCTGTTCACTACCTGGCAGCTAACTTCCTCAAAGTAAAAAAGTAAGAGATCCAAAAGAGAGAGAACAGAGAAGAAACCACAGCGTTTTCTATGATCTAGTCTCTAAAATCACATACCTTCCCTTCCACTTTATTCTGTTCATTAGATGTAAGTCATTAAGAGCTCCAGAGGCAAGAAAGTAAGTTCCTCCCCTTGAAAGGAAGAATAGATGTATTTTAAAAGCATCAGAGGGATTGTAAACTGTGGTACAGCAGAGTGTACCAAAGATCAAAGGTGTGTTAGGGACTAGTTTTTTTTTAATCCTCACCTGAGGATATGTTTCTATTGATTTTTTTTTAAAGAGAGAGAGAAACATTGATGTGAGAGAGAATCATCCATTGGTTGCCTCCTGTATGCACTCAGACCAGGGATCAAACCCACAACCTGATTACTTGCCCTGACTGGGAATCGAACCAGCAACCTTTTGGTGTACGGTGTGACGCTCCAACCATCTGAGCCATGCCGGGGGCGGAGTGGGAGGGGGACTAGTATTTAATTCACCATGTGATAAATACTAATGAAAGGTAAAGGAAGTTGGCAGGATTTAATTATGAATTCAACTTCCTGAATCCTATCATTATTAATCTCAGGAAAGGAATATCATAGTTTATCAGCTTAACAATTTCAAAAATTCTAATATGAATATAGACTTTCCAGAGGAGAATAGCTGAGCAGTGCTTTAGAGAACGAAGAAACTGTTGCATGTTATTATTAATTCTTTTTTATAACCAGTTTTAAAAATTAAAAATATTTGTATGTAGAAAATCAGATAACACTAAAATGTACACACTTATTCCTGACAAAGACTATTATGTTTGTAGGATACCATTGTCAGACGTACTAACGTACGTCATAACAGTTATTATTTAAATAATAAATTTTGTATTTTAATGCAAATATAAATTGGCAGTTTAATTTACTTTTTCAAAACTAGGATTGTAACATACTGGGTCATTTGTATGGTCTTAGAAATAAGATATTTTTGTAATACTGTTTCTGGGAATCACTTCATTTGCCAAACTAAATACTAGACAAAACTGTTCGCTTTCATCTTTCTATCCCACTTTTTGTTTTTGTGGCAGTTGTACTAAAGTCTAGAGTGTTTTAATGCAATA